ATATATATATTTAATGAGAAAAGTAAGTTTTTAATTCTTTTCTTCTTTATAATATATTAAAAACTCTAACGAATATAAATCGAGTGATATAAATTGTAGAAATTTATTTTGCAATATAGTATTTTCTTTTAAGAAAACACCTTGCATATGAGTCTGCTACATTCATATGTAACAATCTATTTTTAGTATATAAGACTATTATCAATTTCTAGTAAAGAAATTTCAATTAATAGGGTATTTTTTATTTATTTATAAAAATAAACAATTTTATTTTATAATCTAACCTTAAAGGACAATTTACAGCTTTGTAGCGTTCGGAATTGATTCTTGGCACTCGGATTGCTCGAAGATCACGTGATCAAGCTCGCCATCTGCTAGCTCATCTCAGATTTACATCGCCGAACGCACCTAAGATATCCAATCTGCAAAGGTAACTGTAGCACAGTTTGTCGTTCATTTATGCAGTACTGCGAGCAGAGAACCCAGGCCTCCTATTCTTGAAAAATATTGCCACCGACAAGATACTATTTTAAGACCGACATCCTTACGGGAGTTGGCGTCCTTATGAATATTGGAATAATTAAGAGTTAAAAACTGAAAATATTGTGTTAATTTTTTTTTTAGTTTAGTGGCCATATTTATGCATTTAGAACTCAATAATACTTGATTTTTCTTTAAAATTGTGATTTCAGTGCTATCGTCAAAGTTTGATTATCAACAGAGATAATAGCTGCAGAGAAAAAATTGTAATTTTTCTGCAATATATAAAACATTATAACTTTACAAATATGCATATTTATTTATGGAACATTTATGTAATAAAAAAATCATGAATTTAATCATGTATGAGCTAAATATTTATATTAATAATAGCAAATTTATATCAATTGTCGATAATGTCAGCGTTCTTCAATTACCTCTGGACCCTTGGGATCCTTTTTATATCGTCGAAAATTTACCCAGGATCTAACAGTCTTTAATAGTATCTCATCATATCTAGGTGATATCGCATACAAAAAACTAGGGAAGTACTTGTTGCGTTACATATACTATAGCATTTCCTTAGTTTTCGTATGCGATAATTTTCAAGAATAGGAGCCCAGTTATTTCGTGGTCTTCTCGATCGCCATCATGGTTTTAAGTTTCCTCTCTTATATTCTATTCTTTCCATGCACTGAGGGAGCTACATAACCTCTTATCGACTTATTCAGACTTATTTGTCAATGTAAAAGTGAGGGAAAATAAAAATTATCTATAATTTTATTAAAAAGATTGAAACATTATATAATCGGCAACATTATATATCTATATTAACACAACTAGAATAATATCCAGGCATTGTATAACTCAAATCGAAGTTGACGACACTTTCCCCTTAGCAGTCGTGGGAATTACTACAAAAAGGAAGAAATTTTGTCAATATAATTATTGTTATTTTCAGTCTAATGTTAAATTAAAACGTTGAGTTAAAGTGTATAGATAAGTGATAAAATTAACATCAACATACACAATGTCCATATTTACAAGGCGAATACTTTCAACTATAGGTAACCTTTTTATTTTATTATAAAAAAATGTCACCATGTGTACTAGTACAATAACACTTAACAGCAAAGTTTGTTTCCAGTTTCAAGAGAATGGCAATGTTTGCGACCTGTCATTTATAACACACATCTTCGACAATGTCAACTGTCGACTGAGTCTCAACCGAGCTTAGAATCTGGTAAATTTGTACACACAAGCGTATCTGTACATAAATTGAGCTTAAATATTTTATTCTTCATATTTCTGATTATTTACAATTTCCAGAAAAGAAGAATAAAAAATGATTAAGAGCTAAAATAAGATTGGAAAAGTGATGACTTTTTTTTTATTCTCAAAAAAAATAGATTAAAAAGGAGAGAATAAAGAGAATATTAAAAATAATTTGAATATTTATTCTTTTTTAATATTTTTCTTTTGTAATCATTATCATATCGTTTGATAATAAATAAAATGATTACTTCCAATTTTATTTTAGCATATCTTTAACCATATTTTTATACTTATTTGTATTTGTACTTTTTAAGTTTGATTTACCTGTTGTTTTCTAGAAAATAAATTTTATTGTTACATTTTTAATATTTTTTAATGAATAGTATTTTATGTGTAACGTTAATAAAATTTAATGTTATATTTTGTAATATAATATTTTTCATCATACACATAGATCTGTCCAACATCCCTGAAAGTTCAGAAGTCATGTTGGATCCACTGACACACCCAGACTTCTTCCAAGTGCATAAACTATTTACCATAAAGGATCTATATAATGCGAGAGTGCATTATGGCCACAAGGAGACCTCCCTCAATGAACATATGGAGACGTTCATATTTGGCTCTAGACTAGGACACTTAATAATCGATTTAGATCAAACTGCTGAGTTGTTGAGACAAGCGTTGAACTTCACCGCTCATATCGCCTTCCGGGGCGGCATAATTCTGTTTATCTCGCGCAATCCTCAGGTCACTCATTTAGTGGACAAAACGGCCAAAGAATGTAAGGAGTTTTCACAGACGAGATATTGGCGATTAGGGCTGTTCCCGAATTCGAGGAATCAATTCAAGGCGACGACGCGATTGCCAGACCTGTGCATCTTTCTCAGTACTCTGGACACAGTCATGACTGAGCACGCAGCAGTGAGACATGCAGCTAAAATGTGCATACCCAGTGTTGGCATAGTCGACACAAACTGCAATCCGAATCTTATAACATATCCAGTGCCCGGAAACGATGATTCTCTATGCGCCATTCAACTTTATTGCTCGTTATTCAAAAAAGCTATCATGAGAGGGAAACGGGCGAGAGAACGGATGATGCAATTTGCAGAATCGACATAAATCTGATAAATTGTAAAACAAATATATGTAGATATACATGTAAAAAAATATAACAAAGTACCAAAGTACATTCTTTTTTTTAATCGAAGAGCAGCGCTATAGTGAGTAATAAGTGATTTAAAAAATCAATATATCGCTCATTCGTTACATCAGCGACATAATTCAAAAAACAAATTTTCTAGAAAATAAAATATTTTCTACTTTAATTTTGTAATGCAATTTTGATATAATAACTGATTGTAAAGGAATAAAAATATGTTTTTTCTATTTTCCTTTTATATTTCCGTTCATTTTTGCAAGCAACCAAGAAACAACTTTTAATTAAGTAACAAATGGGCGATGTCAGTTAATGGACATTAATTAATCCGTTTACATCTGTTTTATTCTCTTATTATGTTTAATATATACATCATATAAAAATCTTAAAGCGCTTATGTGAAGAATATATTGACAAAAATACAGTTGGTGTTGACATTAGAATATTCAGTGATGATCATGACGATTAATCCGTTTTGGAGGCGTTAGCATCTCGTAATTTTAGCAGGTATTTCAGACCTAAATTCTTTATAATCCTTTATAAAAAAAAGACATAAAACAATGAAACGCGATAATATTTAAATTGAACAAAAAATTCGTTTGTCTTTTTCAACGTTAATGGCTGTGTTCAGCAGAAAAGCAGTTTTGCAACTATTGTAAAATTCTTTAATATGATTGGTTTGTTCATTTAGATCTATGAGAAACTAAAAATAAGAATCAATCAAGTTAAAGAATCTTACAATACTTGGAAAATTGATTTTTCTGAATGCAGCCATTATAACTTAGATAAAGTCCATTTTAGACATTCTTTAAATAAAATTTTATTTCGTTTAAATGTGTATTCTTATATGCATAGTATATATCGTGATTCTTATAAATATTTTTCATAAATTGACAAACTTTTCTATCTCAAAAGATTCTATCATAACGGATTGTCA